CAATTAGCTCCAAATAGCACAGAACAACCCGACACGGCTGTTTGGAGGGTTAACATCCCCACCATCCAACTCAGTTGTATGTAAAAGCCTGCGCTCTGCGTGATATAGAACTAGACTGTAATCTTAAAATCAAACTCCTGCCTCGAGCAACGCTGAAGGATCAGCTAACGCATCAGCAGCAAACTGCAGCTTGAGTGCAGAAGATGCACACGTTCAAGAAAGAAAAGCCTGGAATTAGGCAATATTAAGCTGTATGTTCAGAACAACCTTTTTATCCGAGTCACAGAACTGAGGAAGTCTCCATGCACTAAGAATAATATGCTGGTTCACATTACTTTTATATTAAAGGGAACAGTATGAACAGCCGTACTCCCTCTCTAAAGCTGTGGCGAATAGGAAGCTGTGGGTTATTTGAACGATTTGACTCGAATTTTAAGATTGTTTCTGAGGTTATTAAAACAGTAAAACCAATTTTGAGGGTCACCCCACACAGCACCAATCCATGGTGCCAAGTGCTCAGATTCCTTACCGATAAAAATAACCCGAATCAGATAAAATGAGCAATCCTCATCTATTGAGAGTTCACGCGGAAATACGTATTATCTAGTTCAGCACCCAGCTTTCGTTGGTGATGATCATTGAACGGGATTCTACCTCGATTTAAATCAGCTGTGCAAAGCGGTCTCAAAACTAGGCCATCCCCTGGATCTAAAGGAGAAATAGCAGGGGAAAACGTCGTCGTGTTCTCACTCCAGTCAAGTTCATGCAGAATATTTGGGTCAAACATCGGTGTGTCGTCGGGCATCACGGTTGCAACAGGCATCATGGCTGCAACAGGTGTTCTGGAACAGAACGCACGGGGGTGAGGAACATTTTGGTTTGCTCTTGTTTTAATCTCTAAAGATGCTGTTTCCCCCGGTCACATCATGCCACGTGATGTTCCTCAGGGACGTAAAGAAAGGTGAATGAAACCAGAACCGCCGGTCACTTTATCTGCAATTGAAGCTACCCGACCTTCACCGGACTGGGCCGCCGGGTTAAACAAAGAGCGTGCACGCCGGCACCGTGCACATTATCTAAAGTCAACACATGTGGCACTTCTGTGTTCATCTGGGAAGTTTTTTCTCTTGGGAAAAAACCCCAACAGATAAAGACATTGACTAGGATATTTAACCTCTATAGCCCTCTGAAAAGGAAAGCATCTCGCCCTCTCAAGAAACCTCCCTAACGTACTCTTTACCGACTACGGAGGAGATGATTTGCATTAATGTTCCATTTAAAACTGGCGGTAGGAATAGTACCCTTTTTTCAACCAGTCCCATCACATAAATATTTAGTATCTCAGCTAAGAGGCACTACATCACACATATGAAAACACAGCTGATACAACAGCCTGCACGCACGCTCACAGCCCGTACTGCGTTTCTCATGCAGTCGTGTTTGCCCGCTGTATTTACGAAATCTAAAGCGCAGCGCCTCATTGCCCGTCAAGAGGTAAAACGCAGAACTGCCACGCTGACGGGGAGACCCCTGTTCACGATTAAAGAGAGCTTTGGGAATTGTGTATTATTCGGAATTAGGGATAAGAGGAAGCAAAGGGATGTATTTTCCTAATTGCTAGGTATAGGAGAATAATTCTTACTTTGTCGCCTGTGGAATACCTGGTCAGGTTTCTGGTATGAACAGAGCACGTCATGGGAACTTCGCCTGAGACTAAGTTCTTTCTACACCTCCAAATTAACTTAGCTGCACCGCAAAAGATACAGTAGTCGCACGCTGTTGGACAGGCCAAATAAACATCAGAAAGAAAAACGTATTTGGGATGAATACTTTTCAGAATAAGACATCTTACAGCCCTGTTAAGCTGCCCAGAGAAAGTACGGCGGATGTCAGCTACGAAGCATCTCAGCGTAACTGCAGCATGCGAGCTTAAAAACTGAAGGTGGCTCTGGAAACCCAACTGAAAAAGCTGCTTTAAAAAAAAAAAAAACAACCACAAAATCTTTTTTAATGCCACCTGCTGGTATACACTGGCCTTTAAATCCCCATTCTCATCTCAATCTTGCATATAGAAGTAAAAAAATTAAACGGCAATACGAATTCTCATCCCACATGAATTTTCAAAATGAAACAGTGGGAAAAATGAAGTGCAAGGAAAAACATTTCCATAGATGGGAGAGTCAGAAGTGAGAATCCAGGTCTTCCGAGTCCCACTCCTGATCAGATCACACCGATATGTGCGGAGGACTGCAAGCCCATCGCCAGCGTATTAATTATGTCACTGCTAAGCAAAACTGAAGCCTCCCCGGTTCCAGCAATACATTCGGTATCTCCGTTCCTAGATCTCGATTATTCTAATGTTGCTGTTACCCTGTCCCTTTGCAAAGCCCTTCTGGAATTCTTGAGTGTTCGTAACAACATTCAAATAGTGTCCTGTACAGAATAAAATAAATCTAATTAATTTCAGCTCAGGCTTACTGCATACCAAGCAGACAGCAGCAGAAGCGCATGAAGGAAATAAAATTTGTGATGCTCTTCAAGCAGTTAGTGACAAACTAGGAGTTATTTTTCAAACTACATCCAGCGCAGCTGGAGCAGGAAGAAGTTTGAAGCTTCACGCATTTTCTGGAGTCAGGAACATGACTTACTCAACAGAAACATTGGCCGATTAAAAAAAAAAGGAGCAACGTACGGCGGGGAAGAAGAGCTCC